ACATATGTTTTTCGATGTATTTTCAACGTACTTTTACCGCTGAAGATAAATCTGTAGTCAAAATTGGGACGCAAAATATGGAAAAATATTTAAAAACTGCCACAATCTTCAATCTGGCATTTTTTCTGAATGAACGAATTATTATCCAGCGACTTTTCTTTTATTACCTTTTATTGTTCGCACACATACGTACTTCCAAAAAAATAATTTATCAGAATTTTATTTGTTTTTTTTTTCAAGAGCGAAAATTTCTCAGGGCTGACATGAGATCTATGAAAAATTGAGATGTTTGCTGAAAAAATATATTTTCTAAATCTGTATTATTTTGCATGGTAAATGACGAAGAAAACATTTACATGAAAACAGCTGTTTTGTTAGCTTTGAACATTTGGAATCACAATTAAAATTTGTTCATATTTCCTTTTTCTGAAAATGAAATGTGAAACACAAAATACTACAAATTATTAGATATTATTCTTAATTACCAAAATCACGAAAGAACTACAATTGTTCTTTCATATCCAAAAACAATTGTAGTTCACTTTTGGGTCGTATACTCCTTTAAGCATTGCATCACTATTGAGCTAACGTACTTTGGTACTGAAAAGCACATCGCCATATTCACGCTCTAAATCTAAATTGTCAGGTAGTCTTTCAAGTCCGAAAAGTTCTCAATTTTTCTTGCAATATTGTTAAACTATTATTTAAATTAATATTTATTTTATCAGAAAATGCTATTTCTGCGAACAACAGTTTTTACCAGTATTTGACTGACAACAAAATTAGCCTTTACAGCCGTTTATTATAAAATATCTAGAAAAATATTCTGTAGTTGAAAAATGTTTGGCGGGCCGCAGAAAAACTTCCGGCGGGCCGCATGCGGCCCGCGGGCCACGTGTTGCTCATCCTTGGTTTAGACATTGACTATACTTCAAAGTCCACTTTATTGAACCAACCACATAAAAGACTCGCATGACATTTTGTTAGTTTTTGCAAAATATCTTAAAATTTTGTTTAAATAGATATTATTTGCTAAATTTGGTAAAATTTTGTTTGAAAATGTAGATTTCATTATACATAAGTAAAAAAATAATAAAATTCTTCATAATTTTATTAAATAACAAAATTATGTTGCTATATTAAAAAAGAGTTTAAAATATTCTAAACTTTAATTATACTTTAACCAACGGCAAAAAGGACATTTATTTGCTCTTTGTCAAATATCTTCAAATTTTTATTTGTAAAAATATTTGTAAATTGCAGTATAAAAAACTTAATAAAAGTGAGCAAAATTTAGTGATATAATAATGTTATGTAACTATATTAAAAATGGCTAAAATATATACACAAACTTTAGTATTAAGGGAGTTGTTCTTTTTTATTTTTCTTTGTTTCGGTTTTGAGATTTTTTGATATTATGAAAGCTAAAAACCTTAGAATTATTTAAAAAAAAAATCATCTCAATATCTATTTTTTTGACGAAGTTATAGATATTTATATCTCTATATGTATGATCCTCTGAAAGCGTTTTTTATCGCTCCGCGAGCTATTGTATGCCAGCTGCCTCTTTTTCATTATAATACCTCATGCACATGACTTTTTAATGTGTCAGCATCTTTGAACACCATGGTGTATTTAGTACATTAAATTAAATGGTGTATTTAGTACATTATATTAAAAACTTTAAATACGTTTTTCTCAAAATGACTTTTTTCAATGCGGTGCCACAAATTAAAAAAAAACTACAAGTCGGATCGACTTGCATTTTTTTTTAATTTGCTCACCACTGCAATACCTAGTCCCCCTACCTCAAACAACTTGATAACATTACGCAAAAAAATTTTGCGAAGCTTCTCGCCCCAAAAAAAGGCCTTTTTTGACACTTTTTTTTTAAATAGGCGAAATAGTTTCAGGCGATGCACAACGGATTTATCTGTGGCACCGCAAAAGAGATCGATTTTGCAAGACCGACTTTGGCGCCCCCTGGTTAAAAAATGACGGCGCAAAAAAAAAGAAGAAAATCACGTAATATTCTATGATTTTGTAATTTTTGCTTAAAAAAACCCGCATGTCTCTATGATAAATACATTTCGAGAAAAACAAAAACAAATACCTTGCATTTTTTGTAACAAAAAAAGAACAACCCCCTTAACGCAAGCTATTTTCTTAAAAGCACAATAGAGAAACTTGGGGCATTTTTCCAGTTTTTGCAAAATATCGCAAAATTTTATTCAAAAACATATATACTGTTATACATAAATAAAAAAATAATAAAATTCTTCATAATTTTATTAAATAACAAAATTATGTTGCTATATTAAAAATGTGTTTAAAAAAACCCTGAACTTTAATTGTATTTTAACCAACAGTCCAAGGACATTTATTTGCTTTCTGCCAAATTTCTTCAAATTTTTATTTGCAAAAATATTTGTAACTATACTGCATGAAAAACTTAACAAAAATGTGAAAAATTTAGTGATATAATAATATTATGTTACTATATTAAATAATTGATTAAAATGGAAATATCAAAGGAAAATTTGATTCGAGATCTAAACCTGGAATCTTTATTGGTTATTCGAATATTGCTAAAGCTTATCGAATATATCTCCGCCATGGTATATATACTGTTATGTAAATATTATCAATGTAATAAATTTTATTTTACCATTAATAAAAATGATATTAATGATATTAATCAAAATACAGAAAAATGGCTTTGTACCACAAAATGGCCGACACGTCTTCTACATTATGGAAGTTTAAAAATATTTTAAAAATATAAGCACACATTTTGCATAATTTTTGATTGAGAAAATGCTTTAGAGAATTTATTCAGCAATAACTTTGCCAAAGACTATATTTAGTTATAAAAAGTAATTTAAACGTTATTAATAAAAATATAAATAAATGTCCGTATCAACTGCATTTGCATCAGGCAAACATTTTACGTAGTAATATTAATAGGGATGTTCGTTTTAATTCTAATTAAATTTATTTTCCCTATTAATATATAAATACATTTATACATTATAAAGAAATATTTAATTTAAATGCTATAAAATGAATATAATTTATTTTCTAAATTATTTAATTAATATTTCTTCATAAATTATTACTTACTTTTTGAGATTTCTGTTAATGCCTTTCACAAAACCATTACTTTAACTACAAAAATCACTATTGCAAATATTTAAACTGATAACTACACAATTTAATTTCACACAAAACACTAAAATAAATCCGATTTAATTCGATTAAATAAAATATTGATACAAACCCAACGAAAGTCACATTAAAACTGATTTTAATTCACAAAAATATTTACTTGATGCATTGGAATTGTTACATAATAATTCACAGTTACTTTAGTGCTGTAAATTCAAGACATTTATTCATGATTTTTTCGATTACTCGAAAACTTTAAATTTTAGGTAAATGTTGTATTAGAGGAAATTATAGCTAGATAAATTATCTAAAATATTTACTCAGACGAAAATTATGTAAAGTTATTAATTATATTTTTAAAATATTTTTGAAATTTGCATAGTTCAGTAAAGACGCATTTTAACATTTTTGCTTCCAAACTGTATTTTGTAACTAAATATCATGTTAGATAAAATTGTAGCTAATTAAATTATCTAAAACATTTTCTCAGATAAAAATATTCTACAATGATTACTTATATTTTTAAATTATTTTCGACCTGCCTTTGCCAAAAACTAATCAGCACGTCTCCTTATCAATACGAATCAAATGTTTTTTTGAATTATTCAAATCGGATGCTTAGTTCTCTCAAAAACAGATATTTTTTGCACATTTTGCTCGGTATCTCCGAAACGATTGGACCTGCCTTTTCCAAAAACTAATCAGCACCATACATCTCTCTATCATCAGGAATCGAATGTTTTTTGAACCATTCGAATCGATCCATCCGTGCGCCCGAAAACGTGAACGAAAAAATGCGAACACACACATGCATTTTTGAGGTATGCTAAAATGTTCAGAAACCTTCAAAACGTGAAATGAACTAGTTGCTTTTTGGAACTGTAAGTAAATTAAAAAATGCCGCCCCAAAATAAGTGCCGCCCGGGGCGGACCGCCCCCCCCCCCCCTAGGTACGCCACTGGGTTTAGGGTAAATTGTCCGTTCTATATGGCCAAAATAGTTCTTGCACTTGCAATTGGTTTCATTTTTCCCTAATATGTTATACTACTTTATAAAAAAGTTAGTCAATGAACCTAAGATGAATAAAGATAATTGAGACTGAATATAATTCAATAAATAAATGAATATCATTAAAAAACAAAACATCATGTTAAAAACTAAGATTAGCACATGCATTATGTATGCCCTAAAAGCAAGGCCCATTATTCCAAACTTTGATGAATTTTAAACCACTTTTCGTAGACCAATAATATTTTAAGATTTTCGTAATTAAAGCTTCAATAAAATAATTAATTTAAAAAAATGGCTGGCCAATCTTTACCAAAAAAAATATTCTTCCGATCCAAACATTTTTATAAACTCATGAATTATATCGACCCGTATAAAAATCCTATCATCGAGAGCGAATGACTCTCACTTCACGTTGGCGTAACAATTTCCGTTGCATTTGTACGGATTTACACCCATGTCGCGCATAGAGAAGTTTTACTACAAAATATTTGATATATTTCTCGAATCTTTTACAACTGTATTTGGATTTTAAAAACTGGTTTAGAATTTTTGTCGAAAGCGTAGTCAAAAACTTTTCTGCTATTTTTAAAGAAACAGGTCGATCGACGCAAAAAATTAAACTTCAACGAGAGTTCAAATTTTAACTCACATGCACACACGTATTTTTCCAATTTCGGCCTCAAACGAATCAGAATGACTTGAAATATGAAATTAGAAAAAAATTACAAAAACGTTCTTTCTGACGAGAACATAAATTTATCCTTCGGAGTGATAATTATACAGTCATAGTCAGTTAATATGGGCTAATATATTCAACTTACCGGATCTGATGACCATCTGTTAGGTGTACTGGGTCTGTGCTGGTCAACGCAGACCACTTTGCGCATATCCTCAAAGCTTGGATCAGAAGGCACGACGTCGTAGTAAGGTGGCCTATATTCTTCAGCAATGCCATTCGAAAGAGTTCTGTTAGCGACCTCCCATAGTACAAGACCCAGAGCGTAGATATCGGCGCGCCTGAAGGCTTCGAAGCATTGCATGTTGATGCTAAAAAAGAAACATATATAAAAAAAATTACATGAGATAAAAGTATTTGCTTTGCAACAAGCTTAAAACCTATTTTTTTATCACTAGTAAATAGCAGTCAGTAGCGGAAATACGAACAAAATGGTATATGTGGACAATATGACGCACCGGCCATTTTAAAATTGTCTAGTTTTAGTAACGTTTCCGTGACTGTATAACATGAAGAAAGCTTCAATCATAATCCTGTCAGATGTTGAGCGTCATTGTCACGGTCTTGTCGCAGTAATTATAGATCAAACATGTATCGCGCCATCAAAAGTTTATTTTGAGGGCAGTTTTGTTATAACTTTTTTTGGTACTTGTTCTTTGTAATTATATTTATTAAAAAGCAATGCTACTTTCGATAATCAGGTGTTTGATGAAATTTTTAATATTTATTCATTTTTGTTCACTTTTGGACTAAATGACTATTGATACATTGGATATGGATTTAATGAAATATTCAGTGTTTATTAATTTTTTGTTCTCTTTTGGGCAAAATGACATACTGATACATTGGATTATTCCAATTCCAGGGTAGTTCCATCGAGACCAAAAATTGTAAACTATAATAGGGGATTGGATTTTAATTTTTACTATAACTACTTCTAAAATAGACCAAAGATCCACCGGTAAAACGAAGAGATTTACATTTATTGCAAAGATTTTATTTCACGTTCGAAGCCCGACAAAGATTGGTTACGTCGTGATATCATAATATAATAAATATCAGCAGGGCCGGTCCTGGGGTCATTAGCGCCCGCATGCAACTTTATTTTCAGCGCCCCCCCTATTAACTTTAACTGTTTTAACAGTTTATCATTAAAATTATATAAATATTTACATTTTTTTTTTAATTTTATTCTCAATTGTTCTGGATTTTGTATACAAAAAATTAGACATAATCTAAAAGCGTATAAAATACATTGATTTTAAATTTATTTAGAAAATCGAGACAATTCGCGGGTTGATTATAATCAATTATTTTTAGCATATGTGCAATATTAATATTTGGGTTTTGAAACATTTTACATATTTATTATGCAATTTATTCTATTGAGCAAATCATGTCAAGAGAGCTAAAAAAAACTAGCTTTTCATTTTCAATCATAACACTCGTATTTCATGTTGGATTTTTCAAATTTTAATTCATTTTAATTTTTCATTATGTATTTACAATATCCAAAATTGCGCCGTAAACTTCTCCTTATTGATATCGTAAGAGCCGAATTGTATTTATCCTTGCTTTCCCGTCATATTCAAAGTATCAGATTGTTGTTTTAACCCTTGCCACTCGCGAATTGCAAGATTTATATGAATTTCCGATTTTCCCATCCGAGTCGCAAGGGTTAATGTTAAATATTCAACGTATTTTAGAAGCATTGTCAAAAATCAGTAAAAAATGCAAAGAAATTGAACATTTCTTGAATTATATTGAAAGAAAAAACTAATTATATTTGATATATATTATTTCTGCATAGTTAATAATTATTAAATTATTCCAATTAATTATAGTTCATTATTATTAAATTATAGTTCCATTTCCATAACCCTAACGCCTAACCACGCATATCCTCAATGTTCAAAGTTCATCAGGTGCGAAACATTTGCAATAAAAACAAAGTTACAATTCAATTTCTCGGAATAAACATGCCATTTTCTAAGCACTGACTCCCCATTTTTTAATTTCCCGATTATAATTTGTTTATATTTTTTTAACAAGTTCCATTTCAACTAAATCAGTTTTTCGTCAATAATGCCCAATAGTTAATTTAATCTTTCGCAGGTTTGCGCTTATGAGATTATGAGATTGAACAAAATATTTTGTTTTTCGACTTAACGGTAACTTCAAACAGAGAAAAATTGAATAAGTAGATTAAGCAATAAATAGAGATGTTATTTACTAATTTTCAGCTGTTATTATTAATCATTTAATTGTTTCTACTGATATCACATTGCCAAATAAATATGCTTTTTGTGTCTCCGTATTCATAGTTAAGTTAGATTTTTTATTATAATTCATTAAATATTCTAGATTTTACATAAATAATAAAAAATATAAATAATATATTATAAATTTATTTTCCGAAACTCGTTTTGACGCCCCCTAAGGCGTGCGCCCGCATTTTTTGCATGCATCGTATGCAGGGCAGGACCGGCCCTAAATATCAGTATAGTATTTATAAAATCAAATTGTTGAAAAAATTAAGGCGGGTTAAATATTTTTAACTTCTCTAAGTTTATGTTTTCATCAAAAAATTCGATTCGCTAATTTTATGTTTTCTCGACGTTTCAAGCCATTCTGAATCGAATGGGGCCAAATTTGGAAAAAGTATGTGTGTGTGTGTCTATGTGTAAACAGATTTTTTGCCGTAAATCGCCATTTTCTCAAAAACGGCTGGACCAAATTCAAAAATTTAAAAGTAATTCGATGTGTCTCGATGAGGACTAGCATTTCTCAGTTTTGTGCGACCATCGACAGAGCCGTTTCTTTGTAAATCGCAGAAAAGTGAAAAATTTTTCGTCCACGTTTTAGCGCGCAATTCTTAATCGATTTTGAAAATTCAAAAACCGTTCGATAGATATTGGATGGGAATCGAACTGATTAGTTTTTGGTGAAGATCGGCTGGGCTTTTTCCTCGATTTTTATGATTTTTTTTGATGGTAGATATCATAGTCGCATAGTCTCATAGATCATACTAAAATATTACGGCCTTACGACAATTCGTTTAATTTTAAAAATTTGTCAAAGTTTGCAAAAATTAGTATCGTTTTTCTGACGTTTGTCAAAACTAGAACTTTCATCGACGGCTGCTCAAAAATGCCTGAACCGATTTCAAAAATTTAAAAGCCAATCGATGTATTTCGATGTGAATTATTTTTTCTCAGTGTGCAGCGATAGGCTAAGCCGTTTCTTTGTAATTTGAAAAAAAGTGTTAAACTTTTCGTGCACTATTAAGCTCATACTACCGAATCGATTTTAAAAAATCAAAAACTGTTCGAAAGATATTAGTTTGGAATGATATTGATCAGTTTTAGGTAAAAATCTAACGAGCCGTTTTCTTGTAATAAACTGTTGAAAAAAAAATTTAAGCCGATTTTTATGGAAATTTTTTTTGGCGATATATATCATGGTCTTATAGAACTTACTGAAATATTACGGCCTTACGATTACGACAAATAGTTTAATTTTAAATACTCATCAAAGTTTGAGAAGATGAGTAGTTTTTTTTGACGCTTGTTAAAATTGAAATTAGACGATTTACTTCGTATAATGATAAAGTACTTGGTCTTAGTGAACATACTAAACCATTAAAGTCCTACAAAAACTGGTTCAATTATAAAAATTATTGATTTGTGAAAATTTGCTTATAGAAAATACTCCGAGTTAACGTGTTCGTTCGTTTTCAATTATGTGTAATAAATCCACTGGGAATACTTTTAATCATTCATAAATTAATTTATTTTTTATTGATTAAATCGATTATTTATACATATCGGGAAGTTCATGTAACTTGCCTCAAAGCAAAATACCAATACCAATTAGTTTTTTTATTAGAGCAGGAGACGCATTTTTTTTATTTGGGTAGCGGGGCGCAAATTATTTTTATTAGAGCAAGGGGGCGCGGTGCCAAATAGGTCGGAAGCCACTGGGTTACTATATATGAATTGTTCCCTTTCAAATGCGTTATGCGCTGATATGTCAAAGGGAACTAAACGATTTATTTGTGAACTGTCTTTTTTTTCTTTGTAAGTTGTATCTTACAATGTCCTTACTTTATATGTCATTTCCTCTGTACTATATGGACAAAGTAGTTTGTATTATAGTTGCATTTTTCCTTAATAAATATATTATTATAGTTCCTACTCAATTAAAAGACTATGTTGCTGGTCGTCAATAAATCTAAGATGTGTTTATGTGTAAAATGTATACTAATGCGTAAAAGCGATTGAGACTCATTTTAATATCATTAGATAAAATAATTGTGTGTGATTTACCAATTATTGGCGAATTTTCAGGTCTCCAATTATTTTAATAATTTAAATAAAAAAAGTATTGCAAAAACAATTAATAATGTTTGAACGTAATCTATTTGGATCTCCATTTTCAGCCTTCTAGAATGTGGTGTTACAAGGTGTTATGCAACAATATCATTCGGATGATCTTCTAGATCGGTTATAGAAATGCATTTCTTGACGCGTTATCTTGTTCAAACAAATTTTACATGTAGTTTTTTTAAATATAACTGAGCTATAATCATGAAAAATATTTTTTCATATTAAACGCGCGATAAGTTAAAGTTGATGATATCGCATGAAATCTCAAATCATAATGAAACCAGTGATGTCGAAGATCATAGTTGACGAATATTAAATGCTTTCGAATGGATTATTATAAATAATGTAACATTCATTACTCTTATTTTATAGTCTGTATATATATTACAGGAAAGTAAGTAGACAAAATTTAATGAATCGGATTCAAAATGAAGGACATTGTCTCATATTTATAAGAATTATATAAACTGAATTGCAAAGTTAAAATTATCCCTCAAAAAGTATATAAGTGAGCTTTAGAACTTTAGCCAGAATTAAAATTAAAATCCGAATTATTTTCGATATAAATTTTCTTTTTGTAATTTTGAATTAAAAAAAAACAAAAACAATTGTTTTGTGGGAGTAGTTATGAATATGAAAGTATAAACTCCACTTGAATAAAAATATATAAAATTTATTGATTATAAAAATTAATGATAAATAAAATAAGTAAGTCCAATTGTTTTTCCTCCAAGTCTAGCCTGCTTGATTTCCCCACACACTCCCTGCCCAGTGTTGACCTCACAGTTTAAAAAATACAGGGAAACATGTTATAAAAATATGGTGGGAAAGCAGATTATAGCAGTGTTGTGGTACTGGTCAATTAGTAATTCCAATGGAATAAATGACAGTTTCGCCGGCATATCCACCGTATGGTAGGTGATTCAACCTTCCATCATCTTCATACTCTGCATTTGGTTCTGAATATAAATCATGTGGTGAATTTCTTGAACCTGGATGTATTGGTGAACTTCGAAGATTCAGCCTCGATCCACTGTATTAATTTTTATTTCAACAATATTTTGGGTAAACAGATGGCGCTCTGTGAGAATATGAATTTTCGCAATGATTAAAATAATATTGTCGACTTCTGTAGCCCTTTGGTTCATACACCGGATTCTCGAATCGGATGCGATTCGAAGGAAAGCGTATTAAAGAGTCATCAACTTGAGAAGATGCAGTCTTAAGTCTTATGCATCAAAAGACGATTTGGTGAGTTAACGGACAAGGAGAGGTTGAATTACGATTCCAATGACCATTTGATAATGCATTCAATTCTTGACCCAAGGTCTAGGCTCAGAATTAACTTTTGTGTCAGCAATAAACACTGAGGTCTGGGTATACCCAATGGGTATACCAATGAAAGTCCGGTATCAGGTAGTAAATGTGTTAACTACGATGAACCGAGGACTGGACGTACCTTATAAGTAGTCACTGAAGACCAGTGATTATGGTGCTGCATCAAAATCTATATTTTTTAAATCCTCAAAAAATGCTCCTTCTCTGTCTTCATCTATCACGTCGGGATCACCAATGTGGGAGTAGTTATGAATATGAAAGTATAAACTCCACTTGTATAAAAATATATAAAATTTATTGATTATAAAAATTAATAATAAATAAAATGACAAGTCCAATTGTTTTTCCTCCAAGTCTAGCCTGCTTGATTTCTCCACAGTTTCATCAACACAAGCAGCAAATTTTTTCAATCATTCAAATCGGTTGCTTCAAACTGCATTATATTGCACATTTAGCTCCGTATCTCCAAAATGGCTAGTCTTGCCTTGCCAAAAACATATCACTACCTCTCCCCATCATTACAAATTGAATATTTTTTTAATAATTCAAATCGGATGCTTTGTGCGTCCGAAAACGTGGACGAAAAATTGAGGCACACAAAACACACACACACATCCATTATTTCTAAGGTATGCCAAATGTTCAGAAACCTTTTAAACGCGATCACAAAAATCGAAATTTATGACCTCACGATGTTTGGTCGGTGAAAATTTAATTAAAACAAAAGCTGTAATGCATATACAGACTATAAAATATAAATGTAATTAAAACAGCTGTAATGCAACTGTTTCTTATATTTATTAATTACTAGGTTCTTCTTTGCCATGTGCAACAGATCATCCAAGGGTGGGAATGGATAGCTGTCGGAGATATTCGGAGGTAATCGCTTTTATTTTTGGATAGTCAACACATACCCTTATTCCTCCGTCTTTCTTGGGAACAATTACGATCGGAGCCGACCTTGGTGAGTCACAAGGTTCGATTACGTTTTGTTCAATCATTTCTTGTAGTTCCTTCTGCAATACTTCTCCTCGTGATGACGTGAGTCGGGTGGCAATAGGTGGGTGACCGTTTGTTTCGATGCGATGCTCCGCTTGTTCACAGGGTTCGTCGCTTTCTTGAAACAAATCCGCGTTGGCGTTCATTCTTTGGTACCGATTGTCCCTCTTCACGATTTAAATCAATTTCTTGGACACTTACGGCGGCAATATTTATGTTTGGCAAACTTTCTGCAGTTTTCAGGCATGCGTCGAATGATTTATCAAGCGTATGTCTGTAGTCTTCTTCGTAGTCCATTTCTTCAGTCGAGTCGCTGCCGTTTCTGGTGATTTCTACCGTCATTGATTCGTTGCTGGCCATTCGGTGATTTTAGTTCTCTCCACGGTTTCCTTGAGATCTTGATCACTTACAAATTCGTACGCTGCCGTGTTGTCACTGAATTGAAACGTCATCTCTATCAGATTGAGCACTAAACCTGCTTTTTTAAGAAAATCCATGCCTAGTAAGGTGCAATTTGATTTTGCCGTCGGTATTGCAAATTTCGTGGCTATCGGTATTCCCATTATGCGCACTATGATGGTTGTTACTACCACATCCCTTGGTCTTGCTTCTCCGTCTGCCATGATCATTTTTATGTTTCGCGGTTGAAACTCATGTCCGGTTTTTCTTAAAACCTCATACAAATGATAACCTGCGAGGCTATGGTCGGCGCCAGTGTCCAGGAAACCGTATCCCGCTTCGCCTTGCACCTTGATGGGTACAACAGGGGGTTTAGCATGTGTTCTCGGGGTATTTACCGGAGCTTGTAAATTTACTGGAGGGTTTGTTTTTTTTTCTGTTTTGTCGGGCTTTGAGGCGTCGACATTCCTGTGCGTTTGGCTCCTTCGTTTACAGAATGTACAGCCCAATCTGTTTTGTTTCTTGCCCCCGTCTTCTAAAGTCACACAGAAGAAACTTGACGCTTGTATCTCAGTTTTCTCGCTAGGACTCGTTGTGCAATTTGGACATTTACTGCGGATCACGCCTGGCTTACCGCAACCTTAGCATGAGTATGTTGCTTTATCTTCTTGTATAGTAGCAGCTTTTGCCTGTGTCCTGGTTTTAGTTCGGCACTCTTCTTCAATGTGTCCGGTTCGTTTGCAGAATGTGCAAACTTTCTGCATTTCCTCTTTAGATATGACACATTTCTTGTTCTCGTTTAAGTTAGCTTCGATGTCGCTATTGCTAGAAGTTCTTCGAAAGATGAAACCGTTGTTCGCGGAATACGCTCGCGAATATGTAATCGTAGTAGCTCGTATATCATGTCTAATTGGCTGCTTATTGGGATTCCAGGCGGAGGAATCTCGGCAAATAGAGCTCTAAATAGATCGCGTAGGCTGGTCTCTGAGGTGCAAATGAGGATTTTATTAGCGCTATTGCTTCTGCAACGTGCTTACCTCGCTTTTTATGCCTTGCCACCAGATGGCTCCGACGTCTTTTCGTAGTAGCGAGAGTCCCATGAGCGCTTTTTCTTCACTAATGTTCTCCATTTCCTTGTAGAGTGCTATCATTGTAGTGAATTCAGCAACTTTCTCTGCATCCCGCGTTCCATCGAAGCTTGCCTTGCAGTTTGCAAAACTACCTTCTTTCTGGTTCTTTCTGGCCTAAGGATACAATTAGCCTTTGGAGCGTGTCCTCCGTAAGATTGATGGCCATATCCGTTGTGACGGTCCGTTTCCTCAGAACTTTGCTGAGTGCCAGATTTGTGCTGTATACTTTGGTCTGATCCTTTTCTTACCACAAAGTTGGGCGCCAATTTGTGACCTCAAGACCAAGTACACCAGCGTTATACCAACTAAATCATCTAATTTTATTTTCAATAAACGTCAAAAAAACTACTCATTTTCTCAAACTTTGATGAATTTTTAAAATTAAACTACTTGTCGTAAGGCCGTAATAATTCAGTATGTTCTATAAGACCATGATATATATCGCTGAAAAAAGTTCCATAAAAATCTGACTAATTTTTTTTTCAACAGTTAATTACAAGAAAACGGCTCGGTAGATTTTCACCTAAAACTAATCAGTATCATTCCCAACTAATATCTTTCGAACAGTTTTTGATATTTTAAAATCGGTTCGGTAGTATGAGCTTAAATGTGGACGAAAGGTTTAACACTTTTTCCTAAATTACAAAGAAACGGCTCGGCCGATCGTCGCACAAAACTGAGAAACGATAATCCTCATCGAGATACATCAAATGTTTTTTAAATATCTGAAATCGGTTCAGGCGTTTTTGAGCAAACGTCCATGAAAGTTCTAATTTTGACAAATGCCGAAAAGACCATACTAATTTTTGCAAATTTTGACGAATTTTTAAAGCTAAACCAGCTGTCGTAGGGCCGTAATATTTTAGTATGATCTAGGAGACTATGGTATCGTCGAAATTTTTTTTAAACTTCATTACAAGAAAACAGCCCGGCCGATCTCTACCAAAAACTAATCAGCACGATTTCCAACCAATATCTTTCGAACGGTTTTTGAATTTTCAAAATCGATTCAGAATTGCGGGCTAAAACGTAGACGAAAATTTTTTCACTTTTCTGCGATTTATAAAGAAACGGCTTGGGCGATCGTCGCACAAAACTGACAAACAATAGTCCTCATCGAGATACATCGAGTGGCTTTTTAATTTTTGAAATCGGCGAACGTTTTCGAGAAAACGTCGATTTACGGCAAAAAATCTGTTCACATACACATACACATACACACACACACATACTTTTTCCAAATTTGGTCTCATTCGATTCAGAATGGCTTAAAACGTCGAGAAAACATAAAATTAGCAATTCGGATTTTTTGATGAAAACAAACTTCTCCTTCGGGAAGTTAAAAAGTACATAGTAGGTACATAGCATATGTACGATGAATACAATATATTCATCATATAGATTCTCAATCTAATTTGCCACTCAATCTATATTATATTGTCAATTAAAAGAATGCTAGATAAATTAAGTAAAAGACTTCAAATAAGTGGCACAAAAGATTGAAGAATCAGGCTATAAGATAGATAAAATGTTGAATAATAAAATGATGAGCATAAAAATAATGTCACATTCTTTAAGTAATCTATTCAAAGTAGCATAAAATCACCTGCGTTTTAATGCTATGTTAGCCTTTAAGTAAAAAAGGCATTACAAAATACATTTATTGATTGAGCATTTTATATTTTATATTAATCTCAAATATATGGTTTCTCCATAATTTCCTGCATGCATTTAGTATATCATCTGAAATTTCTTTTTATACTAAAACGTTAAATAAAATACTTCATACCTTTCATCAAGAACCTCAGGAGCCATATACCGTCTAGTTCCAACTCTTGGATTAGATGCAACATCTAGAGCTCCTGTAGATTGTGTATGTGTAACTGCTAAACCAAAATCAGCTATAACACATGTTCCATTTACTCTCACAAGAATATTCTTTGATTTGATATCACGATGAGCCATAGCTGGTTTACCTTCGCCCTGGGAAAATAATAATTTCAGTAATTACTTAAATTATAGTAAATATATTAATAGTTCTATATTACACTATAAGAAAACATGGTAGTAGAATTACATTTTTAAAAGCACAGATTAGTTACACCAGATTATATTATATAAGTTCATCATACATTAATCTCTCAATAATTTCAAAATTATTGTCAATGGTGAGATGATTTCATATTTTTAAAGATTATTTTTATTTTATTTAAAAATTTACTTGTTCTTTTAAGATAGATGTATATATATATATATATATATAAATATATATATATATATATATATATATATATAAATCTTATTTAATCTTTATTACCTCTGTTCCAAAAATTTCTGAATGTAAGTGAACCAATCCAACTGCAATTGAAAGACAAATATGTGCCATTTGGTTATGAGTCAAGGTTGTTCTGTTCAGGTGATCGTACAAAGAGCCTAATGGATGGTAATGTGTCAATAACCATAACTGCGTACAGCTATTTCTTGAAATCATATCTGATCCCAAATATCTTAAAATGCAATCATGTCGTAGAAGTATAGTGCTAGAAATTATAACAAAAATAATTATATAACCAATTTCACTCACAAATTTAAATATATATTAACTGAGTCAATTAAATTTTATAGTACAACAGTATTCATGATAAAAGATGGAAAAAGATGCAACTCCAAAATGAGTGGATACAATATAATGGTGTGATTTACACATCATAATAATAACAATTCTGCCTCAAAATAGTTCATTGATGATAATAATAATTGGATTAGTTATAATTACATCTAGATCAAGAATTTTATATAAGCATTTATATAATATATAATATAGTAATAAGATTATATTTCACAAAAATTATTTTAAGTCAGCTATTATAATTAACTAAATTCATAACATTGATTACAAACCTATAAATTTCAGTTTCCCTTCGCCACGATGCCTCATCTCTAGAAAAAAATATTTTTACAGCAACATTTTCTCCATATAAAACACCTCGCCAGACTTCACCATATCTATAAATACAATAATTTGTTTAATCTTAAAAATTTACATGTTTTGTCTTTATTGAATCCAAATAGTATAAAAATTTTTTGTGAATATATATGTGTTATATTGGACGTACCTTCCTTTTCCAATGCATTCTGCTAAAGTAACTTGCTTTGCTAAAGTTCGTTGAATCAGTAAGGGCAATCCTGAACCTGAACCTGATGTCATAGAGTGTTCTAAATATTCCTAAAAAAATCATCATAAATGACTTAATAAATTATGTAATAATGTATGTTATTTTATTTTGTTTTATATATATATAATAAATTCACTTACCCTTAATGTACTGTCTCCTGCAGCTGTAGCTCTCACAACATCATCTCCAGCATAATAAGTTTCAGGGTCTCGTTTTCGATTCCTCATGAGTCGTTTACGATGCAGTCTTCTCATGATAATTAAAATCATTCCAACAACTAAACTTAAAACAACTATTGGGCCTAAGATTGCCAAGCACAACTTGAAAGCATACCCAAAGTATTCAGGGTACGGTTGAACTTTATCTGAAAAAGAAACTTATACATAATGAAAATAGAAATTTGATTGGATGAAATGAACAATGTTAAATACTAAATTCTAGTAGATCAAACAGATATAAAAATAGTAATTATAGTCTATAATTAAGTGAACTCAGTAAGATTACAAAATAAACAACATTCAAAATATTCAAAAGCAGCACATTATATACATATTTGAAATGTATGATAATTGAAAAACAAGACCAACTAATTAAGAAAAAAAAAAGATGAACATTTAATTTGAACTTCTATTTACTTGTTAGAGTGTCAATTAAAGGACAATGCTAATGTTTATACCAAACTGTTAGTACTTGAAATATGTGAAATCACAAATAATTAACTAACCTCTACTATATGGATGTGGATGCAGAATAGGAAAAGAACCATTATTACAATAATCCCCAGTACAGCATTCTATGTGATATTGAGTAGCTGACGATGTGTGTCTTTTACTTATGCTATTTAGACCTGTAGTCAAATTTCCAGAAGATCGACATACAAATGGTATTTGATCTGAACTCGTAGTACATCCTCTAGATACCATAACGTTCCCATCAGGACCACGAACTGTGGATTTCCAGCACTAATAAAAATAATAAGAAGCTAGATATAATGGAGAACTTCACTTTATAAATATAAGAGCTTTTAAAGACCTGTATAGCATTATTACAATGCTCAGTAACACTGCTTATACTGCAATCGGGTGGGTCACATGAATAACACTTGTACCTACTGTAAAACAATTTGTTGTTACCTTAATGATATCATTATATTATATAAACATTAATATATGATTGATTACATTGTGTATATATACATATACATATATATATATATATATATATATATATATATATATATAGCCACTATTTATATTTTGCTTTATATATAACCAAAAATACAGAAATTGTATGAATAAACACAATAAGTTAAAGAAACAAACATAGGAAAATATATCTGATTTAATAAAATTTAATTTCTCTTACATTTAAAACATTACTATACCTTTTTTTCTTCCATCGTCTAGTAAGAATGCAACAAAATAATTTGTTAATAGTAATTAATAAAATATAAAACATTCTTCAATATTAGTTACAGGATTATGTTTCACCCAATATAAATAGCAAATAAGTAATAAGTAATTATTACATATAAGTAAATTGAACAAAGGATTTATTATGCGCCATTGAAAATACAGAAAAGTTAAATTTATGTTTCACCTACTTTTATCATCTATTTTTACTCACACATAAGACTAAATAACATTTTAATTTAAATGCCAGCATACACATTATTATCTTAAGCTTAATGCATACTCTTTACTTACTTGGGATGTTGAATAACAACATTTTGAGCTTGTATAATATGTTTTGCTTTTTTAGATATTTTTTCAGTATCAACATGATCATTGAAAGTTGATGCTTGTTGGGAGTCATCTGGTTCTATAATTCCTAATTCTCCAGATACTATAACAAAAAGCAAAACATATTAATCAATTTATTAAACAAGCGAATGGAGCTAAATATTTGAGTGAATAGAACTGTGAATTGTTAAACATACAGATACAAATAACATTATAATAACACAATAGGAATCAGTGAACGAAAAATAAGTAAAATATCTCATGATAAAGATCTGACCTTGGCACATGTTTTCTTGAAAACATAATAAAATTATTCCATAAGTTATCAAACTGAAAATCATATTTAAAATCAGATTTTTGTCAAATATAGATTCATAATATTATTAAAATCAAAAACAATCTTTTTATTTGACAGCTGACTGCAATGCCAACATAAGCGAGTGATATTTTTTCCTAAAGTAAGAATCTTAACGGCATCAAAATGTACTGCTCTTTATGCTTACTTATCTATGGCGAGGCCTAAGTTTCTTTAACATTTTACCGAATTAAATATGGAACAAATAAACAGATACGGAACAGTAATTATGATAAACAAATACGGAACAGATATCACTTTAAGAGTAATAATTGATTGAATCATGCAATTTGCCCTCGCATCGTTTATTAACCTTATTATTTTCTGTTAATGTTGGCATCGGTTGCACAATCTTAGCCATCTGTGGTTTAGTAGTGTATCATAGATGAAATTAAGAACTATCATCTTTTGTGTGACCTAACTTATAAAAATAAGTTTTCCTAATTAACGTTTTCGAAATGGCTGATTTTGATGCGATATATGAGGAGGAAACAGAAAACGAAGATGAGATACAGGATGCAAATGTTATTATTGTCCCTGATCCCATTGTCATCCGTGGTGCTGGAAATATGACAGTGTATGTACTTTTACTTTGTTGTGATTCAATATTGACAGAATATCCTCTAGACAATATAATGGAATATCCGTACTAATGTCCAGATTTTGGAAATGAAGAACTAATTTTATTGGTTACCGTTAACAAATTGTACAAAGATTTTAATTAGATTTTTTTTTATATATTCTACTTATTATTTTTAGCAACTATTCATTTTGACATCCAAACTTATTCTGAAATCTGAATTTTCATTTTTTATATCAATTTCTGAAAATTGATCCTCTAAAATTGATTGAGGGTTCAATTAAATGCAAATAGTAAAGTTTTTATACAAACAAGAATAAATGTTAAATGAAAAATAAGCCCTACTTATAAGGAAATAAACTACATGGAATTTATACATTTGCATATACATATATATATATATATATATATATATATATATATACATATACATATTTGGAACACCTGATATTGTGCAGTAACAATGTCCATTTTTAATTGAAAATGTAGAAGAAAAAAATGTTTTCAATTGAACATAGCCCGACTTTGGGCACTGCGGTGTGACATGGCAATGGAAAATCTCTAACACTATTCTCTCCTGAATTGAGTTGAAGTTTAGCTCAGCTTATGGACCTGCCCTAGGGCAGTACTACACATTATATATATATATATATATATATATATATATATATATATACACCTTTACTGCTTGTGCTTAATGTTATTCACCAGCAGTTCTTATGTAGTCATTGTCGTTTTAAAAAAAATGTAGAGTAGCACATAGTCTTTTGCAGAATATTAAATAACAAACAAGATGAAATATTTTGCAATTGTTTTATTGTATTTATGTAGCTATTTTTAATTATTTTTTTTTGTTTCTTGTTCATAATATTTTCTTGTAAATTTTACAGTTTTGGCCTAAGTAATCGCTTTAACACAGAATTTCCTGCTGGTTTGGTCTCACGAGTGGCGCCTGAAGAATTCAAAGCAACAATATCCCGAGTTAATAGTGTATTAAAGAAAACATTACCAGTCAATGTTAAATGGTTGTTTTGTGGCTGTGTATGTTGTTGCTGTACTCTCGGTTGTTCTCTTTGGCCTGTAATATGTCTTAGTAAGAGGGTAAGTTTTTTTATTTTGCCAAATGATTGTTGAATCAATTATGTTATTCATTGCAATTTTTATAGGCCCAAAATTCATTAGAAAAGCTTTTGGAGTGGGAAAATAGTCACTTGTATCACAAATTAGGTCTTCATTGGCGATTAACTAAACAACATTGTGATTCATCGTCCATGATGGAATATGTATTTCTAATAGAATTCATACCCAAAATACCTATTTATAGACCTGATTAATTATTATAAATGGCATCTAACAGAGATCTTAATGGTCATATTTTTATGATAAATTTTAATGTTGACTGTCGATGTATATTGAATAGCTTTAAATCACAATTATCATAATACAATGTGTGTGTATAGTTTTAAAATGTTATGTAGTATTGTTAATTATTAAATGCTTTTAGCAAACTTTGTTAAATAGCCATTTCACATTGATCTTTACATAGCTCCTGAAGGAGTTCATTGTCATTGAGCTTATTTTTGAAAGCAATAACTTTTTTTTAAGGTTAGCAGCATCAAAGTTCATTAAGGTGCTATTTTATTTTGTCAACATGATGCTGTGCTCAACTTTTGAGAGTATAAAATGACAGACATTGCTTGCTCAAATTATTATTTCAATGAGCTATGTAAAAGCCAAATTACTGATGTGCAGTAGTGCACATTATGTCTTCATGTGTAAAGCGATCATATTTCAATTGTTTTGCTGTAAATAAGTGCTTTTTCATTTTATCATCATAAGTTTAGAATTATTAATACCTAACAATTTATATAAGAATGTGATATTTATTAAAATATTGTAAACTATATTATATGGATATAATATTATTGAATTTAACCTTTTTGTGACAAAGATGTGTTAGAAACCATGTTGCATCAAATACATAATAAATATATTTTATGAAATTTGTTAATGTAGTTAAAGTTAATGAAATGTGATTAGGGATGAAAAGTGTGAAATAAATAACTAGTAGTTAGGAGACAGCAGAGCTATAACTAAGTTTTTGTTAAATAATTCAATCAGCCTATTTACAATTTATCAAATACAAACACTAAAATCTGTTTGCAAAGTAAAAGTACATATGTAAACAGATTTGTTAGTATCCACAAACTGAATTAAAATATTAGGTTCTTTATATTATTTTTCATTTGTTCTATTGGTTCAAAAAGCCAATCTCAATGAATAAATTAAAATCTATTAGTAATGTAATATAAAACAAATTGACAAGTCTGCTTTCTCATCAATACATAAGTTACTTAATTGAGTTTTAAAATGAATTGCATTTTTTTAAATCTCAATTCATCCCTATTTTAAACGCAGTTTCAATATTCAGTAACAAGAAATTCATTCATCTTGTGTATTCATGCATCTCAAGAAAACTTAAATAAAAAAATATTTAACCTGATTATTGAGAAGCGACCGACATTTCTTTTACTCCTTTCATGAAAACTTCAGTATCCGAATGTTGCTTAACTATAGCTTTCAGCATTGCTTCTAAAAAGTCTTCCATTGTTGTTGAACTTTTATTAAAATATAAAGCATGAGCTAAAAATGGAATTTTCCTAAGTGTTCTTCCACTCATTCCTACGCTTTGTTCAGCAATATTATAAAGATCCAAACTTAATTTATTAGATACGCTGGAATTTTCATTGTCTTTCACATTTCTGATAATTTTCATAATATGGTGATTTAGTAAATCCTGCGATTTACTTATTAGTCCAACCTGAAATAATTTAGTGATAAGACTAAAAAAAATAATATATTAATAAAGACAGTTGTTACTTACCCTAATTAACTCATTTATACATGTTCTATAAATTTCATAAATTGCTACAGGAGATGGCAAACTTATATATTGCTTAATATCAGCCCGATCAACAAAGGCCAGATCGATAGCTCCATTAATATTCGATGTTGTTAGAATCAACACGTTTGGAAATTGACGTATTTGGTCAATTTGTGTAAGTACTGCATTAACTACTCGAATTGAATCTGATGGCTCGGTTCCAGAAAGAGATGACTGCCTCGCATGTGTTAATGATTCCACTTCATCAATTAATACACAAACTAATGCTTGCGGATCATTGATCATTTCACGAATTTTTCTAAACATCTTCATAACCAATTTCCCACTCTGAAATTTTAAATATTATTTGACATATATATGTACGCAAATATATTTGCTATTGTTTATTTTTCAACTTCTAGCAAGCATAGTTTATGTTTTAGTCAGTAAATCTGCCCTGCTAATTTATAGTTTCTCAACATTTCAAATCATTCTGAACCATTTGAGACCAAAATAGGGAAAGGTATATTGAATGTCAGCAGAAATGGCAGAATTGGTCTTGGTTTGATTAGTGTGACTATCGGCCAAGCGGTTCTCTTACAATTAGAAGAAAAGTGCAATGTTTTTCACCTATGTTTTCGCATAAAACTCTGAACTGATTTTAAAACTATTCAGATTTGATTATTACTACAAAATTTTATCAGTAGCCTATAATACATGGCATTTTGAAGCAAACTCAAAAAATCATATTAAGTCTCTCTAAATAATATTTCATATTACTTGTTATATTTCAACACTGATTTGCAGTCACTTCACCTGTTTGAAGTTCCACTAATAATTTTTGTAGGAAGTGGAAAGTGAAAAGTTTTGTCATTACGTTGCTTACCTCTGAAAACCATTTTGAAAATAAGCTATGGCTGTTAATTTCTATTAATTGACCATGTGTATATCTATCACTCATCCTTATAGATAATTTTTGTGCGAGAGCTTTGCAGAGACTAGTTTTGCCAGTGCCTGGAGGCCCATGGAGAAGTACTACTCGATTCCATGTTATTATATTTGAATCCACATTTTTATCAGAAAATAACAGAGTACTCTCTACAAATTTTAATAACTGAAAGAAAAGGTAGTATAATGAGAATAAAGTATTTTTCAAATAGAAACTCAAAAGCTACTTTTGCAAAATATTAACATTTAAGTGCAACTTACATTTTCTTTTATGTCAATTTCATATATCAAGCTTTCCCAAAGACCGTGGAAATCCACTGATGGTAGCACCCAATGGTTAGCTGTTGATAATTCACTTCCAGTATCATCATCATAATCCTAGAAAATGATAATTCAACATTAAAAAAGTGGCATATAAAGTAGGACTCAAATTTTGAAAAGAAATAGCACTTAATAATAATTCAATATCACAACTATTTTACCTCAATAGTTTCAGCTTGAGAGCCTGCTTCATCGAGCCGATATACATGGTATATGATATTATTGTCAGTTATAGGAGTATTCTATAAATTGAAAAATAAATAATCAAACAGCTGTATTTAAATTTTCAAAAATCAAAGAGTAAGAAACACAAGACCTTTCGGTAAAAGTATAGTTATGTGAACTTTAAAATAAAACATGGGGTAGAATTTTAATATAAGCATTGGGGCATATTATATAATTGCATGACAATGGTATTACAATGGATATGATGATTATATAGTTCTTCACTTTAATTGGAATCATACCCCTGACAATTTATTTTCATTACAAATAGTAATAGATTCTACATGGTTATAGAGGAATTCTTCATTAAATTTTAGGAATGTATCTGGTCCTATTACTGTTCCAAGAATATTGACATTTATTTTTTCATTAAGAAAGACTTTTGCAATTTGTAAAATGTCATTTTTGGCAGCTGCACTGAAATGAATAAATAGATAAGTGATTATTATAAAGATGGTGTCTATAGTTATTATATAAAATTGTACAAACCTGTTATTTTTTTGTAAAATTTCCACATGTAAATCAGCGGACATTTTAAAGTAAATAATTGTTTATTGCAATGTTAATGATATCGGTATGTAATGAAGTGAAAGACATTAATTATATTTTAAAATCAACCGAAAGTCAGCGACAGTTTAATTAAGTATTAAGGCAACCAACATAATAATGATAATATTTTGTATAAAGCTTCCCAAACATTATACGAAAAATTCTCAAACATTTTCTAGTAAGTGCAATATTTAACAATGGCAAATGCAATAATACATAAGAAATTTGAACGAAAAAAATAAATAAAAAACCCTGCTACCCCAATAGTAGTTATTATCTCTTATATTTAATTTTTATTTTAGAATTATTCATAAATGAATAGAACAACAAAATTAAGAGAAGGTAATAGTATTATATTGATTAATATTCTTCTTTTATCTATGCCCATGGATTAATAAAAGCCTAAAACTATAGATTATTGCAATCTGATATAAATTAATCATTAGTCGCAATGCAACTAAGACTGAATTCATCATAAAAACCATAAAAACATATTTTAACTTCAATGTTTTTTTTTTCAAACATTATTCACCCAGAAGCTTATTACAACTTAAAGAATACAGTCACAATATAAGTTTTGAACATGTATTTATATAAGGTGACCATATTTTTTTAAGTTTTTAAGTTTTAAAATTTTCTCATTCATAACATATTATTTAATATAAGCATACTCGTTGTATATAGCATGATGAGTAGTTCTCATGTTATTATTAAATAATCGTGAAGATTCAATTTACACCAATACTTTTCAAAAACCCGGGACAATCCGGAACACAAGGTGGAAATCTGGGACTGTCCCGGCCAAACCGGGAGGTATGGTCACCTTTATTTACAATAAAATATATCTAAAGTGTAATCATTTATGTTCAACAAAAATTCTGGGCCAAATTGAAATGACAAAGTAAAATAAAACAAACCCACATTTAATTCAATATTTTTTAAATCTATGAATTCTTCTCTGCTCATCTTTATCTAGGTCTCTGCTACAATTCTCATCTCTGCTCAATTCTTTATCTAGGTCTCTGCCTTTCATACAAAAAAACAATGTAGTTGTAATACAACAGCAATAAAACAAAAAAAATATTATTCAACTTGTATTACTTTGTCGTCACATCAAATCAAAGGTAACATATGAGCATTTATGTATTTTATTATACACAAAATATAAATAATTATCTTACAAATAAGTAGAACATTAACAAGAGTTGGTAATAGCATAATTAAATAACAAAAATTAAAATGAATTTCACATTATCATGAAAAATACGAAGCAAGCATTTTCAATATTCATTTTTATGAATTCTCAAAAAAGTTTGTAAATTATTGCATGTAAAAATACATTCCCAAGTGATAAAATTATGCTTATGAATTACACATACATTAAACAGAATTAAAATTTTTCTATTAAAAGTTTAATAAAAAATGGTTAAAATGCCTAACTAAGGAAAAATATGATATTATATTGGAAATGTAACAAATTTAAAATCACTAAGTTTCAATCAACATTACAAAATAGTTGTAGTGACACATGCTTACAGCAATAACAATATATTACATAAACATTTAAACAAAGATTTAAAAAGGTTGAAATTAATTGATTAATATTAAAATTGACTATATACAAAATTTAAAATATCTCTAAAATCGAGGTAGCATTGAGTACCTAGGAGGTGTCTTCCAGACAGCACTAGATCTTCGATTTAATTTGTCTTTGCTAATTCCTGGGAATATAACTCTCAAATCTGGTGTGGTCGCTTTCACATTAAACAACAGATCTACTAATTTTGTTGACGTTCTTGCTTGATTTATAATTGCAGCTTGCCGTGCTTCAGCTGAAAAAATATAAATTTTTAATATAAAGATAAATATAATTACATTACATATATTCTTTTTATAAACTAATAATCGAACAGTCAAAGTTAACAGAATTAACTACAATACTAAGTAATTATTAAGATTTTGAAAATTTGGGTAAATGCAAAAGTAATCAAAAGTTAATTTACGTTTGCTCCAATCAGGCCTCTGTTTATTATTCTTTGTTGGTTTTTCATCTTCATCAGTGGAATAATCCGATTGAAGATTTTCAAAACCATCAGCCATAGCTACTGGGGCAATGCTATAATCCAATATGCTTTCTTCTGGGTTCGGATGTACAAATGTAGCATCTGATTTCGCATTTGAGTGAAGCTGTTGCTTTTTTTCTGCTTCTTGTGCCTTTAATCTAGCTTCCTCTGCTGCAAGCTTTACTTGCATCTGCAATTAAAAATAATTCCAGAACTCAGAAAAATTTCAAAACAAAAGATATTTTTGTTTCATTTCAATTTTTGCCACAACTGTTATTAACGATAACATCTAGTAACATTTGTAGATAATTTTGATTAAAATACAAAAGAAAATACAAGATGTTTCATCGAAACGCCATCCATATTATGACAATGCGGTATAAGGTAAAAATTAACAACTCATAAGAAACTTATGGTGCCTTAAGGCAATATTCTGGAACTTCCCATACCGTTATGAAAAGACAAAATATAAAAGCTTATAAATTGGATGACTAGGTTTATTTATGATAACATGAAAAGTAAATAAATAAAAATTAAACGGAGTTACAGTAAAAGACCTTATATCATATTTCTATTTATAAGAATTATATAAATTAAATTAAACAATGTTAAAATGATTTGTTTACAGTATTTATATACTGTAAATAAATCATTTACAGAATATGAATAGTCACTCATGTAATCGTGAGCTTTAAGATATTAGTTAGAATTAAAATTAGAATCCGAATAATTTTCAATATTTAAAAATTTACCTTCCGCAAAACATAATTCAAATTTTCATTTTCGAATTCTTGGCTATTACTAAAATTTACTTTATGCAATTCAGTTAGTAACATCAAAGAAAATTTTTGTTTTCAGTGTTTGGACGCACTTCTGATAAAACCCTCTGAGACAATTGGTGCGGTCATCAAAAAGTTAAAATTTCAAATGAAAGTAACAATGTCTGATTTTATGAATACCTCTAATTTTCTCTGTTCTTCTTGTATCTGTTTCAATTTTTCAAGCCTTGCTGCCTCTTCTGCTTTCCTTCGCATTTCAGCTTCCTGCGCCCTTTGCTGCGCTTGCAATTTTTTCAATCGCATTTCTTCCTTGGCCTTTTCTTCTCTCTCTTGTATCAATTTTTGTTTCCTTTCCTTTTCTTTCGCGATTTTTTCTTGTTTTTCTCTCTCTTGTTGTTCTCTTGATTGTTGAGCTAATCTTTCCTTCTCTAGACGTTTGCTGAAAAAATAAATATATATATATATATATATATATATATATATATATATATATATTTTGAAATATGTGAGTTTGGTGTTGATATATATTTTGATGAGTTATTTAGAATCAGGCAGTAACACCAAGTAAAAAAACTAAAGCAGTTTTGAAATACTTTATTTATCCATACGTTTCGATCTTCATCGAGACCGTCGTTCAGTGGAAAAACTAAAAGATTTTATATGATGTAGGAAGAAAATAATATAAAGTTATAGACTTATATATAAATACTTACAGAAAATTAATTATACAAAAATACACTACACTATTACACTGTGATAAACCAAGCTATTAATAACTGGAACATTTAAACTAATTATTTTTTGACAATTTTTGGTCACATTCTAGTGTGTACAACTAACGTCTAAATACCGAATATGAATTGTGTTTACAAATTTTGCGAAAGTGTAAAAAGACTGGCAAACATATGTTTTTAGTAAAATAATAAAATACAAGCTTCATTCAGATATGGTGGTGTTTTGAAAAATGGTCAATGATTATTGTATAGTCATTGCAAAGCAAATTCTTGTTCAATCTTTTATTTATGGCCGTCTCATTGTGTAATATTGGGCATCCTTCGCTAAATCTTTTTAAATAAATTATTTTCGAAATGTAGGATCGTGGGATTGGAAAAATCAATTTTATGTTTGAGCTTAATTTGATCCGTTAATTGTGTTTTATACTGGTTTTTATTTTTAGAGTTGTTTTTATGTTGTGATGTTCTTTTGTGCAAGTTTTGACTGGTTTCACCTATGTAGACGCAATTACAATCTAGCTAGGCAATTAAGCTTATAAACTAGATTACTTAGGATTCTTGGGTTAAATTTCGATTTTAATTTTGTAAAAAGAGTTGAAAAAGTGTTTTCGGAAGTACAAACTATTCTAATGTTATTTTTACTGAGAAGTTTTCTCCACGGGTAATGTAATTCTTTAATGAAAGGTAAACTTATAGTTCCGACGTAGTTTTCATGGTTTGGATTTTCAATTGAATTATTGTGACGGTTTTGGAGATATAGGATTCTATTTTTTGTTACAGATTGGATGAGGTGTTGTGGGTAGGTTTTAGTTAGGATTTGTGAAATGAGAGAGAGATTCTTTCTTTAAAATTTACTGTGTGATAATAATAATGCGTGGTCTATTTATTATTATTTTAATAGAGAGGGGGTGGTGAGAATGGCCTGAATATGTTGGTTTGTGATACCAATCAGTTATTATATTATTATTTTCGCGAGAGAGTTGGACATCTAATTCACTTCTGAATTAGAAAATAATAAATCTATCAGTTTCTTAGATGTTTAACTCTTTCGGCAAAATCATAATATAATAACTGGTTGGTATCACAAACCAACATACTCAGGCCGTTATTTTAATTACCGTTCTTACCACCCCCTCTCTATCAAAATAGGCACAATCATAAACTTAATAGACCACGCATTATTATTATCACACAGTAAATTTTTAGTAAAGTATTTCAAAACTACTTTAGTTTTTTTACTTGGTGTTACTGCCTGATTCTAAATAACTCATCAATATGTAATATATATATATATTAGTGATGTGCCAAGTCGAATCAAGCCTTTAACGACTTGATTCAAATCAGATTTCACTTGATATATATATATATATATATATATATATATGTATATGTATATATATTAGTGATGTGCCCAGTCGAATCAAGTGATTCAAATCATTCGAATCAAGCCTTTAACGACTTGATTCGAATCAGATTTTACTTGATTCGAATCAGATTTTACTTGATTCGAATCAACTCGTATCAAGCCGCGAAATATTTACTGTGATAAAATATGCATGAACACAATTTTTACATAAATATAAAAAAAAATGTTTTAATTTATTTCAATATTATAATAATATAAAAAATAATAAATAACATAAATGGCATGAATATAAAAAATAATCATGAATTAAATCATGCGAACCAACCGACTTTAATGCGCTTAAATGTATCACCCGAATCCAATCGTTTTTGTATGACTTTAACCGCATTCATCGACTAACTATATCATCCGACTTCATATGGCTCAAACCGAATCATTCCGACTTCAAGCCGTTTGAGCGATATGAGTTAACCGTATGGGACGATATCAAGCGACTTCGAAACAGATACAATGCATCGTCGTTCTTGCGTGTTTATTTATTTTACAGAGCGCTGAGAGCAATTTTGTTCGTGAAGTATCAATACCCAATTTTGATAATAATTAAGTGTTTTAGATTTTAAATGTTATCAGAATAATCCACTCAAAATTATGAAACGAGTTTCGGAAATCATTCAATATAATACTCGTTTGAAACGATTACTAAACACCAGAAAGCCAGTAAATTATATTCAACTTCTGATGATGTAAGTAATGGCAAATTCACATTAATGAAATTAACTTTCAGCTCTCAGTTTAGATGCGATCCTTTACTGATTACATAGTAAAATAAGCAATTGACCCATGATTCCAAATATTATTTTATATGCTTTAGTGATGCACAATTGTTTGGTAATCTATTATTGTAAATCAACTTGTAGATATGTATAACCGTCTTTAAAATTAAATCATTTTTAATAATTTTCAGAATATACTTTTTGATAGTAATTTATGTTCACAATTTCTACTTTGTCGGTTATATTGGTTAAACTGACAATTTTGATTACAAATTTGGATCGCTTTACTAAATAAATACATCCATGATTTTTTTTGTCCATATATATACTTGATTCGAGATGATTCGAATCAGGTTTTTTTCTGATTCGAATCATTCAAATCGGGAATTTTCCGAGTCGGCACATCACTAATATATATTACCAAAGCATAATATTAGGGCATAACATGAATAAAAAACAAATTTCTTTCAAAAAATTATTTTACATCCATACGTTTCGGCTATAATCCAAGCTTCCATTCAGTGGAAACTAAAAATAAAATTCAAAAACTAGAAATGAAAATAAAAATTATAAAGAAAAAGTACTCTAATTAGTTAATCTTACAGTGTTAAAACAGAAAATTCAATAATCCATGGTATCAGATATCCATGGTAATGCACTACACTATGTAATGCAACCTATGAATTGTACCTCTATATTAAGTATTATTAAAAACGCGAAAAATCATTTGATTACGAAAAATAGAACCGACCGACCTTTGCCAAAAATCAATCAGCACGGTTGGTTCCAAATAATTCAGAATGACTTGGAAGCGCCAAGAACACAAAGTAAGCAAACCGGATTTTCTGGTGAAAACAGACTTTTCCTTCAGAAAGTTAATAATTTACACAAACTTACCGTTTCCGCTCTTCCTGTTTTTCTAGGAGCAACTGCTCCTTTTTCTTCAAAGCTTCCTCTTCCCTAGCCTGCTTCTTCAAAGAATCATCTTTGGCAGGTGACTTCGACTTTTGTGCGGACTGCAATACGAGCTTGGTATTCTTAACGATTTGTGGAGTCGTATTTTTTGATGAATTGAATTTCTTTGCAGAGAGAGTAGCTATCTTAGAGACACTTGCCACTTTTATGGTAGATGTCAATTTTTGAGCAGATTGTATTTTTGTTGGTTTTGCATTTAAAGCATCTATATTTGAATGTAGCTGTAAATTTTCCTTATTCATGCGGGATTTGGTCCGAGTAACCCTAGCCGAGGGCATTTTTTGTTCAGAGGCAATAACTTTCTCCAAAGCATGGACTCTGATTTCACTTGCGACCTAAACACAAATCAGTTGCAGAACTATTAATAACATGGAATAAAATCTCCTTTAATGTTATCATCGGCGATCTGTATATGCAAAATAATGAGTAGACATTGTTAATAATATAATACATGAAAAAGATAACAAACATGATTTGATATTAGTAGATAAACCCAGTGTAGAATCTACTAACAATAAGAATGAATTTCCATATAAATTGGGAATATCTATCAAGTATGGCAAATGTAAACAAAAACTAGTTGTAAGTAGCATTTATATAAATGATCAACTTAATCAATAAAAGTTGAGATTTAGATAAAATTTTCAACAGTTTATTTCAAAAATAAAGTTTTCTCTTAACTAAAAACTAATCGATGCTATTTCCAATTGATATCTTTTAAATGGACACAAATATGCGCTTGTACTTTCTAAAAGCGTGGTGAAATTGTTATAATTCAACAACTTTTCGTAGATCTATAATACTTTTCACCATAATATTTTATTACCATACTAATTGCACCATGTTAATCTTCATTGAAAACGCTTTTTTATAATATTTAGTTACGAAGAAACTATCCAACCGATCATTACCAAAAACTAATCAGCACGATACCCAAAATAAAATTTTTCGAACAATTTTTTTTAAAAAGAAGAGTTAATTATAAAGAAACGGCTTGGCCGAATGTCACAAAATTTAATAAACGTGAGTCCTTTGACAATTACGTAGAATGGCTTTTAAATTTTTGTGATCGGTGCAGCCTTTTTGGCAAAATCATCGATCTTGAATTCTAGGATGCGAGTCAATTTTTGTCCAGTATTAAAAACCCGTAAAACACATACCGAGTTTGTTTATGGTTACGTCTACATCTCGTGTCATATCTAATTCGCTATTAATGGTTTATAAACATAATATACGAACGAAACGATATATTTCTTTTTATTGTATATCCTTTTTAGAAATAGTTTATATTCAAATATTATTTGATTGCAAACAAAATACAATAATAAAGGGCAAGAAAGATAGGTGCTCCAGCAAACAATTTCAATTGTTACACACAAAAATTATTAATTAGTTTAGATTAGATTGTTTGATTTTGCTGTTTGATCAACTGTAGTGTTTACAAGTAAAAAATATATTTTTTATTTTAAATTTCATTTTTCATTCCATTGTCTTGTGGTGCCTATAGATTGTGTATACTTAATGCAAATATTTAAAAAAAAATCATTACCAAAATATGACACAATACAATACAATTCCAATTGCACTCCAATTTTATTTATATGCATAGATATATTTGAATGAAACTCATAGAATAGAACGATATTTAAATACTGATTGTCATGTGAAATATATGACATGGTGTCTGATATACTCCTAGAAAAATGAATACATTTAAGGGGCATCAAAAAAGATAGAAAAACTTCTGATTGGGATCTTTTAAGGAAAAAATTAAGGAGAGGTTGCTAAATGCGCAAAAAAATAAAGTGTACAGGGGCAAACTACAAGTGGTCTTTAAACTCACTTTAAAACAATACAAGGAGACTAAATTATAAAAAAATTGATCTCCCCATAACGTCATAACAAGTGTTCATAAACAGCCTAAATTGCTGATAACAAATAATAATAAAAATAGAATTAATCATTTTTTTATTTGGCACCAGTATAAATCAAATAGCAATATTTAGATTTTAGTTCGAGATTGAAAGCCCTTTATCAAAGCTTTTATCAAATTTTGGTCTCAACAGATTCAGAAGGAATTGAAATGTCAAGAAAAAAAGCAAATAGGATTTTCTGGAAAACACTAACATCTTCTTCTAGAAGTTAATGGAAATATAAAACTATTATAACTATAAAAAGTATTAAAGTTTTTAGTATGACAATATAAAAAATAATGAAAATGTTTTTGCTTTAAATTATAATCAAGTAGCTCATTTTTACTTAGTAATCATTATCAATATAGTGATATTGATATTGCATTGAATTTTTTTTAATTTGAATATATTACTTCTCAATCTCTTGTGTCCACAATCAACTCCCACAACAAAAAATTGAATTAGAGCTCATCAACATAAAAAAATTAATATGCAAAAAAGGATTACACACCTGGGCTCAGGAGCGTTTACTGCAACTGTTTCCAGGGGAGAAGTTCCCGAGATGGATTCATCATCCGTAATTAATGGAGATTCTACAAAGTACACATAAATAGATAATAACCAAACTTATTATTAATAGCTTATGATGTATACCTCTTGAAGGATGTGGTTTTACTTTGGTTGCAGGTGTTAGTAAATTCTCCATAACAATTGTTTGATCCATAACAGGAATGAACTGTCTTTCAGGAGTTTTTAGTTCTTGCTTTATAACTATTGGAATATCAAGATTTGAAGTAATCATAAACGTAGCATTTTCATTAATTTCTTTTGGTTCTTCATTGCTTTGTATAGGTGCAGAGTTGTTTGGCAAATTCTAAAAAATGTGGTAATGTATATGTTGATAAAAACGAAATTCTTGGTAAACAGGCATCAATTCAAATATATATATATATATATATATATATATATATATATATATATATTATAGTGGTCCTTAAAATGATCATTTTTGAATTTCCTTGCTCCCAGGGGCTCAAATGGTTCGAAATTAATAAAAAACAATTTTCTGAAAGTTTTAGCTCATAATATTAACGTTTAGATAGAGCGCAATTCAATCAAACTTCGTATGGAAAGAGCATGGAAAAAAATTTGAAAATTAAAAAAAATGTTTTAGGTATAACTTAGCGACAAATGAATGAGTTTTATTCATTCATTTGTTCGCTAAATTACATCTGAAAACATTTTTTATAAATTTTTGAAAAATTTGAAAAATTTTTCATGCTATATCCATTCAAAACTTTGATTGAATTGCGCTCTATCTAAACGTTAATATTAAGAGCTAAAACTTTCAGAGAATTGTTTTTTATCTATTTGGAACCATTTGAGCTTCTGGGAGCTAGGAAATTCGAAAATAATCATTTTAAGGACCACCCTAATATATATATATATATATATATATATATATATATATTTATATATTTATATACATAATGAATGTGTTCCATGCTTCCTCACCTCTTTCGGAAGTTCAAGAGAAGGATCTCTATTTATTACAACTTCCACCTTGTCAGATAATTTTTTATCATCTTTTATATGCTTTTTAACTTTTATATCTTCCAAGGGAGGTGATAAATTAGTTAATTCATTTGGACTTGATTCTGCAGCAATAACTTGAGTAGTAACAGCATCTTGATAAACAGATAACCCAGAATCGTTTTTGAGTAATTCTAAATACATTAATAAAGAGGTTTATTAAAAAATATTGTTTTGTATTATAAAATCAATTTAGTCAGTATATATACCTTTATTCTCATTTATTTCTTGATGATCATTTATGGTAATAGTTTCATTGACAATATTTTCTATTACATGTGTTTGATCATTTGCTTGAGCATCCTCTTCAACTTCTTCTTTAATACTCATAGCCACTGATAATTTTTCAGCTTTAATTTTTTGAATTTTTTTCCTACCTAAATAAAAAATAAAATCAAATAGTTGAATACAGTTCCAGAGACACCATCAGTTTTAGACTAAAATATTTTTATTAGATGATATTAATATTATACATGTTATTATCTAAATAAGGCATTTTTCCTACATCATAAGACTAAAAGTAAATATTTCTACTTTAGTCAGAATATTACTTAGTCAGATTAGAGCTTGTTAAAAAGCTATCACTATTTATATCCTACCTCTTTTTTTTATTGCAGGAGCACGCATAGCCTCTTCATCTTCATCAGATGAAATGGCAGGATTCTGAGAATTCTCTGGTCTTTCATTATTTAAAATTTGAACTGAAATATCCTATAAGTGAACATAAAATGTTAAATTAGAGATAATTTATTGATAATTTAGAGAAAATTTGCATGCATAATTGACAACATTAAAGCTAAATTGATCAGTGACCATATAGAAGTAAAAACCATACTTAAAAATGAGTGACTCTGGTCTACATACCTGTGTGATATTAGAACAACTTTCTAAAATTGATGTTTTATTATCAGGTAGGTCATAAATATTACCCGTTAGATCTTTATCATCAGGTCTTCTAAGTTTCGTCATTTTTAGATGTGCCTTCGAATAAATATTATTTTTAATTTAACAAGATACAATATTTTGATAAAATATAAATAACACAGATTAACAATTACTTGAGTAGAAATTTTATTTGAAGCACTTTTGGCAGCATTTCTTCTTGGCCTCCCTACGGTAGAAACATCCTCTGTTTGTGGTGGTTCACATGCTTCCAAATTTTTCATAAACTCCTGTAGAAAAAGAAATATTTAAGCATACTATATTTAAATCATAATCAAAAAACTAAATACAAATTTCAAAATTAAATTTTTTATCAAATGCACCTGAAAGATATAAAATGAACGTATTCCTTATATACCGAATTTATTTGAATCATTACAAAATAATTTAATACCGTTAAACATAATCACTTCAAACACACTACATTATTTAAACTATTTTTTAATAAAAACTAGTGGTGTGTATGGAATCGTGCCCTAAGGCAAATTGCTGGAACTTCCCGTACCGTAACAAAATGTTCGAGGAATCTTAAAAGTTTTCAAATAGATTATTATAAATAAATACTGCAACATTGTCTAATATTTATAATAATTATATGAACTGAATTGAAAATTTGAAAATATTTGTTTAATGTATATTAGAACTTAAGTAAAAATTACAATTAAAATCAGAATTATTTTCGATATACAAAAAAAATATTTTTTAAAAAAAAAATTATGAAAAAAAAAATTGAAACAATTTTGTTTTTCCGAAAGCATTTATTTTGTTAAAACAAGCAGAAAGTTCTTTGAATCATTCAAATTACGCTTAGTTCTCTCAAAAACTGCCATTTTTTACACATTTAGCTCTGTTTCTCCGAAATCGCT